CAGCGCGCTCCGCAATTGAGGTGAGTTTGTCATTACAGCGTGGTTATGAAAAGCTGTGAAACACTCGACGTGGAACCCGACCTCACACTTTGTGCATCCATATTTTGCCTTCTTCTTGATGTTGCGCAGGCTGCACAAGTGACAGAGAAGCCTGCCTTTGCTATGACCGGTGGAGTTTGGGGTGATCATGTGAAGCGATGTGTCCATCCCGATGATTTCATCTAGCGATTCCTGAGAACGTTTTTTTTCTTTTGCAAGTCTCGTCGGCTTTTGTTTTGCTTCTCATTGCTGGTGAGCACATCGGCGATCTTACTCTCGAATCCCGCAAACTTATTTCTTTCCTGTCGTCGTATAGTTTTTACAAGTGTATGCGCATTGATAATTGCTATGTCGATCAGCCACGTAAACATCGTCATACTCAAGCGTTTTCCGCGGCGGCGGATAGGGTTGGTACTGCGTAGTTGGTCGACTCGGTCGACCGCGTTCATGCAAAGATTGTATGCTGCAATAATTGTCGGCGCCATGAAAACACGGCGGTGCATCATGCGGTCTTCAGTCCACCGTTGAATTGGGTAAGCTCCATGGCAGCACAACACAGCCTCAGGAGACGTAGAAGGGAGAGTAGGTTGAGAAGGTGTTCGTTGGTATAGAAGATAACCTTTGTCCTTGTAAATGACGTATCCAGCCTTCTCGGCTGGACAATAACCGGATCGTAAGTGGTTCGCTGTGCCTTCGGCAACCGACGCTGATTCGTCTGATGCTTCTTCTGTTTCTCCATCCAACCAGGCTCTAGCCTCACTTCACCTACCAATTCCCAGCTGCCTCGCTCACTAGCATCCACTCGCTCGATGGATGCTTTGACTGCAGGTTTGCTCACCAGATTTAGTCTCACCGTTCCCAGTAAATGCATCTCGCCGTCAGTATACTTTAGCAGAGCATGAGCGAATGTGTGTCTTGTGTAAAAGTTATCTGACACCACCAGCCTATGCCCAGTTGGTGAGCGCATGGCTTTTGTTTGATGGCCGCCATGGCTATCCACATAGTTGTTGCTGAGTCTGCCTCGATGGGTACATCATCGGCGTCCAATGCATTGGAGAGCGGCGTGCGTAGAGTAGGAAACAAATTTGTATAACGCTCTGCAGGCGTTGAAGGCATCCTATTGCCCGATGAGTTATCCCAAAGTGAGTGCACATACAGTGAACCCCACCCCACGAGGGTGTAAAACCGAACGCCATACTTGTCTGGCTTGGATGGAATAAGAGTTTTCGCCCGGGTCCTTGCTTTAGTTGATACAGTCATCTCATCAAAGCTGCTCGCACCAACGGGAACTGCGAACTCAGCGAATCTCTTTTGGAAATGCTCCATAACACCTCGGCAGCGCCACAGTGGATCTTCCTCCTTGTCAAAAGATGAGTCTTGCGAGGGGTGAAGTGTCAATGATCTACGAATTTGTTGGAATCTTGTTCTTGTCATGGTGTCAATAAAAGCACTCTGCCCGAGAAAGCGACTAGTAGACCAGTAGTCAGCGATGTCATTCATAGGGCAAATGGTAGTTGCAATTTCAAGTCCTAACTAGGCATTGAATTCCATATTGGTTATAGCTGCATGTCCAGTACCAATAAGGACATCTGATGTCCACTTTCGGAGCCTCTCCTCGGGTGCCGCCGTGAAGAAGAGAGCCATACTCCGCGCTATTGTCGTATGCTTTAGCCACTTGGTCTGCTATCGCGACGTAAAGACTGCTTTGGTCTTTAGTGAAGCAATATATTGCTCTGTGATGTTGTCAGGCATGCGTCGAGTACCGGGAGTTTCTGCTTCTGACACAAGCACTTGTGCACGCTCACATCTACCTTCTCCTCCTTCGGATGTAGCAACGTCGCCGCTGGCGTCCGTCATGCTTGTGCCTAGCTCGTCTTTTGAAGTCAACATCCCAGTCTGCTGTCACGTCTTCGGTGTTGTCCTCCATGCTGCACACCGATCTGTTGCAAATGTGAGGAGGAGGGAGGGGGGGCTTTAACTGACTTATATCGATGTAACTAGGGCTGGGAGATGCTTTGATAGGGGTTACCACAGACCTCTACCAAGGTCATGGCTACACTTCAAAGCGCTTGATTCAGCTTTTAGACCAATCAAATATACTCATTCTCGCTGGTAGAGGTGTCCTCGGTCCTCTACCATACCATAAAATCTCCGACCTCCGACCCTCCGACCTGTACCAGAAAGCTGGCACATAAATGTAGAACACATGAAATTTGTGTAAATGATGTGTTTGAGATTAGGGGAACTAAAACAGTGATAGGAATGCCAGAGAGCAAGTTTTGTGTTGAGTTTATAGGCGGCAGGAAATCGCCTGAAACGCTCTGTGAGCTGAGAAAATCGCGATTTTCTGTTTCTATGTATTTTGATGCAACTTTGGCTCAGGAACACTGTGCTTTAGAGCCGATAAATTCAGAAATGAGCCTGGGATTTTTTTATCGTCCAGATAAAAAAAAAGATGCGTCCGGATAGTGTGAGTTGAGGGCAGCCAGTCATGGCTGGGATTATTCTATTGGCTCGTTATCTACCAATAATATGGCGACACTTGTCAGCAGGCACGCGACACTCAAATTTACTGGCTCACAGCCACACTCGCAGACCGACAGCCAGGCTTGGAGATCAGTCTTCAATTTTTTAACGCTACTGCGCAGATCTCCAGCCTTCCTTCCAA